GGGGGAAGGAGGAAGGGAAATATAGGGGGTGAGACTTGTGAGGCTTTTGCAGGAAAGGGAGGAAAAAAGAAAGCTGGACTGGATGGGGGGTGGTGTTGACGTTTCTATCTCCGCCTTCTCCCCCTACACACACACACACACACACACACACACACACACACGCTCCTTTTATCCCGGGAGCTTGGGCGCCGCCAGAGCTCGGATTACTCAAGCGTGCTTTAGCGGAAGCCAGCCAAGAAATCTCCAAAACTCAGTGACAAACAGTTACTCTGGGAAGGTGATCTCCCAGACCCCAGGTACAAGGCTCCGTTTCTTAGCTCCTCACGCTACAGTAACTAAAACACCCTTATTGTTCTTGTTAGGTACCTTCGAAATGGTTCGGACTCACAGCGACCTTATATATACAACAGAAAGAAATACTGCTCGGTCCTGCACCACTCTCACCCTTAGCTGCAAAGAAAGGACAGGTGGGGAAACAACCCCCCAATAAGGTAGCGCTGTGAGGATTGAGAAGGACCCATCTAAGGGTGAAGGTTTAGCTTCAGGGTTCAGCCTGGATCCCTGGGTTTGCAGGGGTGGGCGTGGAAGCCGGAACTGAATTGACACGCCCGACCTGCCCCAATCTGACACTCTTTAGAAAGACTGAAAGCTGCCGTGCCGCTGAGCATGCCCAGTTTCACTACTGGAGCCACTGAGGATTTGTTGGTTGGGGGTGACTGAGTCTCCAGACTTTGAGAAAAAGATGATGACCAAAGACAGTAGGAAGGACGGATACGAAAAGGGTAGAGGCTGAGAGAGAGGGGAAAGGGACAAAAGGTGGGTGGGGCTCACAGTTACCAACCTTAGTATGATCTCTTCCCAGTGACCGCCCACCCCCCAACACACACACACTCGTCTGGGCACTAGACACATTAATCTGCTCTCTCCCACCATCTTTGAAGCATCACTTTAGTTAAGATTAAGATAGGGAACGGCTCTAGGAGCAGGATAGTGTCCTCTTAGATCTTGTTTCTCAGAGCCTCCCAGCCTGGAAATCACATGGTGTACACGTCTGTGCATAGAATATTAGTGACTTAGAAAATCAAATGTGACCAAGTCATGTGAAGAGAAGGTGTTTCCTAAGTTATTTTTCTTTTTTTTTTCTTGATTCTCTTCTTGCCTTTACATAATCTCCCCCTTGAACTCTCTTCTTTCTCTAAATGAAATTTACCACCACTACGAACCGCAAGGTCAGCAGTTCGAAGCTACCAGCGCAGGAGAAAGATGAAGCTGTCTGCTCCCGTAAAGATTTACAGCCTCGGAAATCCTGTTCAGGGTCGCTATGGGTCAGAACTGACTCGACGGCACTTAACAACAACAACAACCTACAGAAGTAGAACTCTCATCCCCAGTTGAGACTACAGATCCAGACACCCCTCTAAAACCATGTAATTGCATGATAGAGCTTTGGGGGATTCTTGTTATCCATTATACAGCTTTGCCTGTGGTCTGAGTAAGTATGTTCATATTTTCAAATCTTTTGTGAGAAAAATGATAGCGCGTTTTTAGAAGGGTGGACAGGAAGGGTTAGATTAGAAAGGTGAATCTTGTGAAATAAACAGGAAATAAACAGAACAACTTTTCTTTCACCCTCCAGAAAATCAAAACAAACAACAAAAAAGCCGAACTAAAATCTAATCAAACCTGAGATAGCAATGAAAAGAATCAGAAATGAAAATTAACTTTCCTATATAAAGAAGCATCTATGAAAGCCCCACGCTCTTATGGTATTTTGAGCTTCCTGAATCTGTATGGTTCCCTTTCTCATAGTATAAAACCCTCTAAAGTATCACTCCCCCCCCCCCCGTTTACTTTATTTACTTTATGGGTAGATCATTCTTCTGTTCACTAGCTTGCAGCTAGACTTTCAAGACGCCACAGAGATCTTTCCCCAGGTGCTGAATGAGTGGAGCTATCCGTGGTGCTGACTCTCATTCTGCCGCTAGTAATTGCAAACTCAAGGCAAGCGGCCCTCAGATATTCAAGACAGGACACCACTGATCTTCACTGAATACGCATAGAAATGGGTATTTGCAATATTTGCAACCCATTTCTATAACACTTTCCTTTTCTACTTAGCATCTAAACTAAATTCAAGCTCAGCTCCCACCCAAAAGATATCAAAGATTCCAGAGAAAATGAACAAAATACACGTAGAGTAGGTTGGTGTGGCACTGTAAGATAAACCACTGGACAGCAAGGTAGGTTTGAGCCAAATATCCGTGGTTCAAACTCACCAGCCACTCCTTGGAAACCCTATACAGGGTCACTATGAGTCAAAACTGACTCAACAGCACTTAAAAACAACAATAATAAGGACTCCTGGTGTGGCATTGTAGGATTAACACTGGACTGTGAACCACAAAGTCAGCATTTCAACCCCATTAGCTGTTCCTTAGAAACACTATATGGGGTCGCTATGAATTGGAACCCACTAGAGGGCACTTATCAACAACAATATACTATGAAGACCAGTGATACAACAATAACTTTAGCAAAGTCAGATGGCTACTACTTCTTTGTCTGTGTTTTGTTTTTTTTGTAATAACATGCAAACTCAGTGAATGGATTCTGCTTACAAGGGAAATGGTGTTAAGTGCCAGGAGTTGGTTCCAACTCATAGCAACTCTGTATACAGTTCTAAGGAGTAACTGGTGAATTTGAACCACCGATCTTGTGTTTCAAACTGACCTATCTGTCTAGTGCATTATCTCACAGTGCCACAGGAATTTCCAAATGCAGTTTGAATCAGTGTCTACCTGTCATATGATAAGATGTGCTGAAATGCATAAGTCGACAATGCATAATAGCTTCAGTTATAAGTCTGATAACACCTTTTATAAGCCACAAGTTTCTGAGTTCAGAAAACTTTGAATTTCACTTTCCTTTTTTCAAGGGGAGAGTGGCTTCTTGTTGCTGTAGGATAAGCATTGGACTGCTAACTGTAAGGTTGGTGGTTCAAACCCACGAGATGCTCCTTGGAAACCCTATGCAGGGTTGTTATGAATTGGAACAGACATAATGGCACTTAACAACAGAAATACAAGCTTCAGAGTCCTTGGTTGTTTAATTTGATCAATTACACATATTATGATTAAAGTTTCAGTGTGTGTGTTACATACGGGTAGGCTCTGTTGGCTTCGCATTTTATTAACTTCATTTAACTGTAAGATTAGTTCTATTAAGGATTCAGTGTAAGATCACAGGATATTCTATAACCTATGTATTATAATTGATTGATCTGAGCAGAAGATTAAAGGCATCCTCTTTCTAAATTACCACAGTAATCGTGTTCATGCATTATACATTGGTGCAGTGAAGACAAGTACATCAATCTATATTCAGCCAATAATAGAATCAAATCAGAGGATGATAATCATGAGTGCTTGCTGCCTGGAAAAGTACCTAAGTACCCCCTATCCTCTAAAAAGTAAAGTCCAGATTATGTCTTGAGGTCAATTTGTGTAACTTTTTAGTATGTTTGAATTTCTTCATATGCCAAATATTGAATGAAGAAGTGTTTACTATTCAATGCAAAGTACACACAGACTAGGATATAGAACAGATTCAGGTATATTTATTAAATTACATATTTATTAATTTTAGTGTATAAAAGAAGTTGTTTAAACAAGTGATATTAAATGTATGTAAAAGAACTTTGAGTAATTCATAACACATAATATGTGCTCAGTATGTTTTATTGTTGCTGTTAAGTGCCATTAAGTCAGTACCAACTCATAGTGACCCTATACATAACAGAATGAAACACTGTCGTGGTCCTATGTCGGGGTCCCGCCTCGACAAGGAAGTGTGGGTGTCACGAAGAAGGGGGATCTGGCAGCGAAAGTGATAGAGAAAGAGAGAGACAAAATATATACAAAAAAGACAGACACACAGATATGATGCAAGCTGGCAGGTAGACAGATCTGCAAACATATTGCCTAGCATTCATTGCCCAGCATTGCACAGCATTGCATGCAGAACTCACTTTACCTCAGCCTTTTATTCTCTTTTTTTAGGGAGGGATATGTCACAAAGGGAGGATGTGATTAAGACAGTATACAGAACTGAAATGTGATTAATCATTCAAAACAGGACATAATGATTCACAGGAACAACTTTTAAGATATTTTCATAGTTTTTCTTAACAATCTAACATTTTTATTTTTACAGGAAAAAAAGGTTCAATCAAGCTGTTATATATTAATTTTTAGGCTTAAATGATCTAGAGTAGCAACGTGCAGTTTCTTAAGGATACATAACATAAAGCAAGGTTCCTGAAAGGAGCCAAGCTGTCTCTGTACACTTTGCAACTTTTGTCTGTGAGCAAGATCTCAGGCACCGGGCTTCATTTATCTATACCTAAAATGCTACATTGTTCTTAATATTCCTATATACTTTCAGGAGGAAGAAGAGCATCTGGGTTAAACTGATTATATTTAGAGGTGATTTAATGGGGCTGCCACTGATCAACCCAGGGTCTGCGTATGCTGTCCCCAGGAAAATACTGCCCAA